CTTCACCAAAAAATATCAAGCAAATTCATCAGCATTTTAAATTTTCATATTTACAGATGTGATGCAGGACGTGGAGGTGGAGTCCGCATATGTGAGATACCCTTAAATTAAATAAGATCTCTACAACTGTAAATAATATAGCAGTGGAAGACATCTGGGTAACCGTAGAAAGTAATATGCACCCTTCCATCCTCATCGGCACAATCTATAGACACCCACATCATACAGAATCTTTTGAGTATCTTGAAAATGTTTTCAAAGAAATGTCATTAAAAAGAAAACCCTTATTCATCCTAGGTGAATTAATGACGATCTAAACAAATTAAATGCAAAGTTAACAGGGATAATTAATAAGAATAAATTAAAACAACTTATAAACAAGTCTACAAGGATTACAGAAAGTACCTCTTCTATATTAGATGTCATAATGACAAACGGACCCGATATTATTCGCAACCAGTCGGAGTGGAAACAATTATATTAACAGTAAAACACTTACGAAAAACAAATTCCGGAAGAGCTGATGGCATTGCACAGCGTTTCATAAACGATAGTCTACCAGCAATTGCATACTATCTGACAGTCATCATTAATACATCCATAGTCACCGGTGTTTATCCATTAATTTGGAAACAAATTACACCTATTTTCAAATTACACCTATTTTCAAATTCGGTGATACAGACGAAATAAATAATTATCAACCCATCACTATACTGCCGGTAATATCTAAAGTACTCGGGAAAATAGTTGCAAACCAATTAACAGCATATTTGGAAGAGAATAACCTTATATCAAACACGCAACACGGCTTTAGAAGTAAACTATCAAACGGAGCAGCGTTACTATAAAAGTCACAAATGAAATTTATAACATAGACAACAACCAGATAAATTTGCTCACTTATAGGACTTATCGAAGGCCTTTGGTAGTGTCAGCCATGAAATGCTTCTCAACAAACTAACAAATCACGGAATTTATAACTTTTGGTTCAAAAATTATAACTGAAATAGTCAAAATTCATGAAAAAGTCTCATCAAAGAAACCAGTTTCGTTCTGTGCTCCACAAGGCTCCATCCTAGGCCCAATCTTATTCACTATTTTCATTAATAATCTGTCTTCTTATTCAGTACACTGATGACTAAATTTCTTCATGCTGCCTCTGTTAACAATTCAAATGAGTTGATAGGAAACACTAAACAAACCCTAACAGAAGCAAAATAATGCTTTGTAATTAGTGGCCTGAAGCTAAATCCACAGAAAACACAATTTATTTTCATAGGCAGCCATCAGAAGAACATTGCAAAAATACCCACATATACAGTAATAGAATTCCAGGGTTGCTACATCAACCCCAACACAACAGTAAAAAATCTAGGAATATACATAGACAGATACATGACATTTGAGACACACATTGACCACATCTAGAGGAATGTAATGGGCACTCTGATATACTTAAATCACTTGAAAAATAAAATACCCACAGAAACAAGAATTACTGTTATACAAAAACTTAGTATAATCAATTACTGCCTAAACATCTGGGCCTCCACAAATAAAACACAAGTACAAAGGATACAGAAACTACAGAACTTTGCAGCAAGAGTAGCACTAGGAAATAAAAATAAATATGACCACATCACACCACATATCAACAAACTAAAATGGCTAAAAGTACAAGAGAAATACAACCATGACACATGTATTTTAATCCAGAAAATCATACAAGGAATTTACCCAAATTGGCTATTACCTATAGAGACAACAGGTGTCCAAACAAGGCAAAACAACTGCTTATATATCAAGAGATCAAATACAGAAACTGGGGCAAGAAATATGCAGATCCGAGGACTGGTGACTTGGAACCAATTACACGAAAACATAAGAAATACTTCGCCGTTGGATCACAGTGATTTGAGTCTACTTCTCCCCTTCCCATCTCATTGACTTTGTTGCCTATGAAACTCTAATTTCCCAACTCCAACCACCTTTCCTCGTAGTTGGTGATTTCAACTGCCGCCATACTGTGTGGGGTAACTCTATCATCACCTCCCGAGGCCGATCTCTAGAACGTTTCCTCTGCACAAATAACCTAATTATTCTTAATTCTAATTGCCCCACACAATTTGACATGCATACACAATCCTGTTCATGCCTTGACCTTTTTCTATGCTCCCTTAAGGTACGGTCAGACTACCCATAGATTTCACTGAAATCCAGCGACTTTCTGTGGGCTGGAACCAATCCACCCATCTGTGGTGTTCACACTGCGAAAAGAACCATCGGCTTCGTCCAGTGGAATCGCGGCATCAAAACAAATCGTGACCGCTGAGACGCACAGTAGATCCCGCATTGTTCTCTCTAACTCTTGCTACTATTTCATGTTTCCGGCCTTATAGAGAATATAAGAAGAGCAAGAGAAGCAAAAAAAAGACTCTGGATGAAGCCATGGCTACAGAAAAAGGACCAGTGTGTATCAAAAGTTAATTCGAGAAACCAGAGTGGGTGATGATGGTGTGTTCTACGATTTTCATAGAATGGACAGGCTACAGTTTAATACAATATTGAACTTGGTATCACCCATCATTCAAAAGGAAAACACCCAATTAAGGAAGACGGTTTCTGCAGCTGTACGGCTCTCTGTGACCTTAGGTTATTTGGCCACAGGTAAGACAAAACTTGGTTTAGATTTAGATCTACGGCGCCACCCGGTTCCTGCAACCCCCACTTTACCCTCTAGCCACTGGCCAATGCCTTCTGGACACTCAGTACATGAAGTACCATATATTGCCTAGACAAAGCAAAAGGTTTCGCCTTCAGGACCCCTGCTATTTAGCCAGATTGATACAGTGTATATTAGCAGTACAGTGGGGGCAGGCAGAGATGAAAGCAGCCATTATCTTGCTTATTTGCAAACCACACAGTAAATTGTATTCACAAATAGTTCTTATTTTTTAATGCTTAAAACCATGTTATAGTACCTACACAGTTATTAACACTCAAAATTTCAGTCCTCAACTTGACATCCCAAAATATATTTATCAATCAAAGATGCTGTGACTGGGCTTGCAACTTTTTGTCCGCTACAAGAATATCATATTCAATTTCCCTAACAGTCGGTCCATATGTTAAAGATGAACCTTAGTAGTAATTCTGGCAATTCTTGATAGTCCTGTTTCTGCAAATGTGAAGATAATATAGGTATATGGGGGTACTGAGGGGGTACAGCTCTTCATGAACCCACAAGATTGTTGGCTGGAGTTAGAGGATTTTTACAAATGCATCCATGCCATCAGGAATTCATGTATTTTCACTTAACGAGTCTATCTGCCTGAAATTTGTGAAAATTATATTTACACAATTAAATTCCTTATAGGTGGAGGGAAAACAAGACTGTAGGATAAATAAAATTATTATGAATGATGCTTATTTTTACTATAGTTTTTAATGAATGTGCATTCTAAATATTTCACTTAGCATTACTAAGAAATCTTTTCCTTTTTTTTTTTTTTTTTTTTTTTTTTTTTTTACAGGAGAATCTCGTCGCTCGCTGGCATTTCAATATAGGATAAGCCATAGTTTGATCACAGACATCATACCAGAAGTTTGTAGTGTAATTTACTTAGTGTTAAAAGATGCTAATCTAAAACTTCCATCAACATCAGAGGAATGGAAGCAAGTAGCGAGTGACTTTAATAGTTACTGGAATTTTCCTATGTGTATTGGGGCCATGGATGGAAAACGATTTCTTTTAAGGAAGCCACAGAATACAGGATCTGAGTTCTATGATTATAAGGGACACCATAGCATGATAATGTTAGCCCTTGTCGATGCTCATTACAGATTCCTGTATGTTGATGTGGGAGCTCAGGGACGATCAAGTGATGCAGGTGTGTGGGAACGATGTAAATTAAGAGAATATTTAGAAAAGGAAATGCTGCAAGTTCCCCCACCTGATACATTACCATATGCAGATAATAAAGTTCCATATGTAATTGTTGGTGATGATGCCTTTCCCCTTAAAAGGTATCTAATGAAACCCTATCCCGGCCAGAACTTGAGTACAGAACAAAGAATGTACAACTACAGAGTGTCACGAGCATGCCGTGTATCAGAGAATGCCTTTGGTATTATTGTTGCTACATTTCGGGTTTTTCAACAGCCAATTCATTCAAGCCCAACAAACACCCAGAAAATTATTTTAGCAGCAGTGGTTCTCCATAATTTTTTGAGACCTAATACTAGGCAGCCAATGCAACAGGAGCTTGGCAATAATAGTAATGGTTTACAGACCTTAGGAATTCAGAGGCTTGCAAATGTAGGAAGAAGACCTGCCAATGATGTCTTGGAGTTAAGAAATACTTTCAAAGACTACTTCAGTGGCAGGGGTAGAGTTTCTTGGCAGGACGATGCTGCCCTCTTGCACTAATCCAAATTGTATTGGTCTTTTGATGTGATATTTCAGTTTTGTTTGCATGTAGTTCCCTCTTATAGTCATAATGTTAATAAATTATATGGTGCACATTTAAATGTGTACATAAATATATCATTGATGTTTATATTTAATACTGTTCATTTTTTAAAAATAAATTGAAATAACTAAATTGGTTTCTGATTCAACCCATTACCAAGTAACCAAGAAATATGTTTTTCAAATAACAATCAAATGATGTTACTGACTACAAATAATTTTCTCATTAAGTGTGGCAGTTCTTAAATAATAAATATATGGCCTTATACAAAAATTGAAAAAAAAATATATATATATATATATATATATATATATTTATATTATAGAAAATAATAGAATCTAGTGTATCTCCAAATAAAATATATAACATTAATATCCTTATAACCTAAACTTACATTAATATCCTTACCCTAAACTTACATTGATATTCTTATAACCTAAACTTACTGAATAAATAAACTATATAAAAATATATAAGTGTTATGTGGGAAAAAAAAATTACTGACAAGATAAGAAATCACAGCAATAAATTCATGACTACATACAAACCATTACTAAATGACAGCTATACAAATTGTTCAACTCTTACATGACTACCATCTATGACAGATTTTGATTATTAGTGTTCCTGCGCTTTTCTTTTGACTTTTTTAGAGTTCTTGCCACAAGTTCAATAACTTCCACAGAGAACTCCAACTTCAAGTCCTCATCAGAGGCAAGGTGATTCATCAGTGACATCACAGCCTCAGTAGCCATGTCAAAGCGGACAGGCAGCCTTGACTGTTCAGCCCATGTATTTTCCATTTTATCAATAGCCTTTGCCATCATTTCATCAAGAGGATCACTGCTCATGTTCCTCTTTCTCCCTTTTTTTCACTGGAGGGTTTCCTGCATAACTGGTAGAAGGAATAGGTGTTATCATGATGTCTCCAGTTATATCAGGCTCAGGGGAAGGAGTTGATCCAGAGGGCAGAGAGGAAGGAGTTGATTCGGATGAAGTCGTGATTGGTGAAATTGTTATTTCACAATCATCGGCAAGATCCTCGATTCCTCCCTCGTATACCAACACTTCCTGACTTTGTGTATTCTGAAAATAAATAAAAATCACTTAAATTTTTGTATTCCCAAATGTTAGAATGATTCAAACTTAAATAATGAGTTATATTTCATCTCACACTTCTTTTACAAGAAAGCATTTGGAAAAGACAATTTTTGATATTTGCCTAGTGTTTCTTAGCTAAAAATATTTTGTATATTAATAATGAGCATTTTCAATAAGTTATTCTTCATCTGACATTCCTTTTAAAAAAAATTTACAGTGTTTCTTAACTACATATATTTTATATTTATTAATTATAAGTACTAATGATAACTTTAACAGCTTAAAAACATTCACTTGTGCTTACCAAGTCATCTGGGTGTATGAAACTCGACTCAGTAGGGCAGTTATCATACACTGACTGCAGAAAGGAACATGAGCTGAAAAACTCCCACTTCTGCGGAGTTTGAGCCCCAGAGCCACTCGGAGTGTTTTTTATTTTACGCAGTATTTTCTGATACTGACCCCGGAGATACTGGAACTTGTTCATAACATCACCTGCAAATGATTCAGGAATTATTAATTTAAAAACACCAAAGGAATTTTGTAGTGTAGATGACACATTCATTAATAACTAGTACTTTGAGAATAATATCCAGACTAAAGCCTAGCCTTGGCAATTCTGAATCTTATTGAATATGTAAAAATATATGAATGAAAGAATGTATACTAATATTATGAGTAAATTGCCATAATGAAGGTTGTAATTTTGACAATCAAAGACTAAGCAAAGAGGAATAAAAATTCCTTCCTAACAGCCACAAACTCACAATTAAAAATTAAAAGCTAGTGTTTGACCTTTACATATAATTAATGGTTATTCAGAAAATTTGTTTTAGAGCATATCCTTGTTTACAAAGTGTTACGTTATGCCCAAATATATTTTTTGGGTGAGTTTATGAATCATTACAATGTCATTTTTGGTGAAATATAAGTATAAGGTAAAATAAAAATACATGAGAAAAGATGAACTTTCTTCAGGGAAGGAAATATAGTCTAAAATAATTCAATTCCCTGATAAATATTTTATTGATACTTTTAATGATCATATATAATACTGAATTGAGAAGAATCATGTCAGCTGCCTTTGAATTTTGCTCATTTTGCCAAATTTCTCTGTAAGGTAGCCTACACAGCTTATACATGTATCACACAATCTTTGAAAACAGCCTCACAAAAGCAACTTATAACTTAGTCCTAAATGAATTACAAAATATACAAGAATTATATAAAATCAATAGCAATAATAACTTCAAATTTTTATATTACCTGTAGTCAGTCCAAGAAGCTGTGGATACTCCGACATCAGTTCTGAAGATATTTTGTCAAACAGGGTCCGTTTCATGTTCTTTTTGTGGTAAAATGGATGCTTGATATTCCAAAGCACTTCTTCCTTTCAAGGAGGGCGAAAATTGCTTCAGAATTCCACATTTTGAATGTTCACGGGATCTGCGATTTCAACTTGAAGATGGCGCCTACGCGTTTGTTTATACTCGTCAGTCAAATGAGAATCCATGGTCAATGCTTTTGTTTTTACTTTTTATTCGTACTTTAACTTATATTCAAATGTAAATAATGATGTAAAACTAAATATGAATAACTCTGAATAATTTGAAATACATAATAATACACTATGAAATGAAAAGAAATGTATACCATGCATACTATAGATTCTCAACGTGTGCAATTTTCCCAATCGTCCAACGATGGACGAGTGGGTTTCCATTGCATCGATCGTGTGGGCGAATGTCCAGTGAAATGAGACCATGCGTGGGCAAATTCCATTCCAAATCGCTGGATTTCACGAATGTATGGGTAGTCTGACCGTACCTTTACTCATCATTTAGATTTCCATTGGTCTGTTCTAGACCATTTCCCCTATAGTGACCACTTCCCAGTACTCCTTTCTCCTACTTCACTTCAGGCTCTACTATACCTATCCCTCCACCCCCTTCCTGCCCATTTCAGATATGCTACAATGTTTTACAACCACGATTCTAAGAGCTGCCTTTACAGCCATTCCTTAAACCTCCAAATGTGTTCCATGGTAGAATTCTGATTGCACCAAAGTGCTTCGCGCAGCCTGGAACAGCTATCACTACAAACGAGGCACCCCCTACCAGCTATCACTCCTTATCTCCTTTAAAAGAGCATCTGCCCATCGTCGCCATACAATCGGAAACAGTAAAACAAATAGCTAGCAAAATTATGTTTCCTCAATTACATCTTCTATACCTATTTCATCCTACCTCAATCCTCTATATTCGAGATACTCTCATATCTGAACCTGTCGAAGTAGCTAATGAACTGGGCAACTATTTCAGCCAGGTCAGTAGTGGCTCTCACCTTTCCCCACACTTTTCTTCCTTTAAAGCCATCAAGAACGCACCCCTATCACCTTCACCCTCTGATGATGCCCCTTTTTCTTCTGAACTCAATGCTGCATTACAGTTGTGCTGCAACTCTCATGAAGGATGTCAGGAAATTTGCCTTCTCATCGGTGAGAAGCTCTTATCGTACCTTTCTTAAAACCCAATAAATCAGGTACCCTCCCTTATTACTCTACCTAGCTGCTTGTGAAAACTACTAGAACGAATGGTTAACTTCAGCTTAATGTGATATCTTGAATCATAATCTCTTTTCTCCTTCCCAGTTTGGTTTCCGCTTTGCCCAAATACCAGACCCCTTTACCCATCTCGAGACTTATATTACATCTGCATTTGCATACCATGAATCTATATTAGCCATATTCCTTGTTCTAGATAAAGTATATGATACCACATGGCAGTACCATATTCTCCAAAAATTGTCCTCCCTAGGCATACGAGAAAACATGGGTGTCTTCTTAAAATTTTTCATTTCCAAACAAACTTTCTTGGTCAAAATTGCCTCTTTCACATTATCATCCTTTCCTCAGTTCGAAGGCGTCCCACAAGGAAGTGTGCTTAGTACCACTTTATTCCTTCTTGCTGTAAATGACATTATCTCAGTCCTACCATCAGGAGCCCAGGCATCAGTAAATGTTGATGACTTAACCATCTACACATCTGGCACATCCATACCAGATTTCCGTCAATTCCTACAGTCCGCTATAACATCAGTATCTTATTGGGCCACTAACCATGGCTTTCGCTTCTCTACCTCCAAGTCTTTTTCCATCCTTTTCTCTCGCTCACTTATAGGTCCCCAACCTCCACTCTTCATATATAATGTTCCACTTCAATACCGTTCTTCTGGCAAATTTCTTGGCGTTACATTTGACTCCAAATTGTCCTGGCGAGACCATGTCTTGTACATTAAAGAAAAAGCTCAACGCTTCCTCCGAGCTTTATAAATACTTTTCCACATATCCTGGGGCTCAGATCGCAAAACTCTTCTTCATCTTCATGTTACCTTGATCCTCTCCACTCTAGATTATGGATACCATATCTACTCCTCTGCCTCAACCTCCCTTCTTGCTCACCTTGATACAATCCACCACAGCGGTCTCTGCGTAGCCCTGGGTGCCTTCCACCCTTCTCCAGTTGAGCCTGTTTATTGAGTCTGGCATACCATCCCTCTCTCGACGTCGAGCCCTTCTCTCTCTCCGGTGCTATGCTCGATTTCACTAACTTTCCCTTGCCAAACTAGCTATCCCACAATCCCTGCTTCCTACCTTTACCTTTTCTCCATGTTTACCTACTCTTTTCTCCGTACGCATGGATACCCTCCTCTCCCATTCCCTTTCCNTTTTCACTTAACGAGTCTATTCTGCCTGAAATTTCGTTGAAAAATATTAACAATTAAATTCCTTATAGGTGGAGGGAAAACAAGACTGTAGGATAAATAAAATTATTATGAATGATGCCTATTTTTACTATAGTTTTTAATGAATGTGCATTCTAAATATTTCACTTAGCATTACTAAAGAAATCTTTTCCTTTTTTTTTTTTTTTTTTTTTTTTTTTTTTTTTTTACAGGAGAAATCTCGTCGCTCGCTGCATTTCAATATAGGATAAGCCATAGTTTGATCACAGACATCATACCAGAAGTTTGTAGTGTAATTTACTTAGTGTTAAAAGATGCTAATCTAAAACTTCCATCAACATCAGAGGAATGGAAGCAAGTAGCGAGTGACTTTAATAGTTACTGGAATTTTCCTATGTGTATTGGGGCCATGGATGGAAAAACGATTTCTTTTAAGGAAGCCACAGAAAACAGGATCTGATCTTATATTATAAGGGACACCATGCATATAATGTTAGCCCTTGTCGATGCTCATTACAGATTCCTGTATGTTGATGTGGGGAGCTCAGGGACGACCAAGTGATGCAGGTGTGTGGAACGATGTAAATTAAGAGAATATTAGAAAAGGAAATGCTGCAAGTTCCCCCACCTGATACATTACCATATGCAGATAATAAAGTTCCATATGTAATGTTGGTGATGATGCCTTTCCCCTTAAAAGGTATCTAATGAAACCCTATCCCGGCCAGAACTTGAGTACAGAACAAAGAATGTACAACTACAGAGTGTCACGAGCACCGTGTATCAGAGAATGCCTTTGGTATTATTGTTGCTAATTTCGGGTTTTTCAACAGCCAATTCATTCAAGCCCAACAAACACCCAGAAAATTATTTTAGCAGCAGTGGTTCTCCATAATTTTTTGAGACCTAATACTAGGCAGCCAATGCAACAGGAGCTTGGCAATAATAGTAATGGTTTACAGACCTCAGGAATTCAGAGGCTTGCAAATGTAGGAAGAAGACCTGCCAATGATGTCTTGGAGTTAAGAATACTTTCAAAGACTACTTCAGTGGCAGGGTAGAGTTTCTTGGCAGGACGATGCTGCCCTCTTGCACTAATCCAAATTGTATTGGTCTTTGATGTGATATTTCAGTTTTGTTGCATGTAGTTCCCTCTTATAGTCATAATGTTAATAAATTATATGGTGCACATTTAAATGTGTAAATATATCATTGATGTTTATTATTAATACTGTTCATTTTTTAGAAATAAATTGAAATAACTAAATTGGTTTCTGATTCAACCCATTACCAAGTAACCAAGAAATATGTTTTTCAAATAACAATCAAATGATGTTACTGACTACAAATAACTTTCTCATTAAGTGTGGCAGTTCTTAAATAATAAATATATGGCCTTATACAAAAATTGAAAAAGAATATATATATATATATATATATATATATATATATATATATATATATATATATATATATTATGAAAATAATAGAATCTAGTGTATCTCCAAATAGAATATATAACATTAATATCCTTATAACCTAAACTTACATTAATATCCTTACCCTAAACTTACATTGATATTCTTATAACCTAAACTTACTGAATAAATAAACTATATAAAATAATAAGTTATTGGGAAAAAAAAAAATTACTGACAAGATAAGAAATCACAGCAATAAATTCATGACTACATACAAACCATTGCTAAATGACAGCTATTCAAATTGTTCAGCTCTTACATGACTACCATCTATGACAGATTTTGATTATTAGTGTTCCTGCGCTTTTCTTTTGACTTTTTTAGAGTTTTTGCCACAAGT